AATATAAGGAAGAGGGAATATAGACAACTCTTTCCCCCGTTAAGAAAGGGGACACCGGGCATCATACAACATGGTTCCTGAAATTTCCACGCCGCACATGTCGAGCGGTGCCGCCTACGTTCTGAATTATATGTTTCAGCGAGGACAGGGGAGCGCGCGCGACTTTTAGCCCTTCCTGTATCCCCTTTTTCACTTAAATATAAAAGAAACTGAAAAAAAGTTATTTGACAGGAGCGTCGAGGTAATGAAACAGGAATATGTAATAAAACCCAGGCAACCGTTTGCTTTTGCTTTTCCATTGTGTCGACGTATATTTTTGCTGTCACGTTTCTCGGGCTGTACGCTATTGCAATGGGATTTCCTCTCACCATACACGACGCTTTATTGCTTTACATTCGCAAGGTACTGCACGTCGAATCAAACTTTTAATTTTCTTAGACATTGATTGCAAACTCGCTAGACGCTGTAAAACCTGTCCTACATGATAAGCCTCAGTAATAGTTTAGCAGTACCAAGGGCTGCTCGAAAAAGAAAAGAAAAAAGAAAAAAAAGAAAAGAAAAGAAAGAAAAGAAAGAAAAGAAAAAAGAAAGAAAAGAAAAGAAAAGAAAGAAAAGAAGAAGAAGAAGAAAAAAGAAAAGAAAAGAAAAAAGAAGAAAAGAAAAGAAAAGGAGAAAAGAAAAGAAAAAGAAAAAAATGCATAACAATACAATGATATCAGTTTCAGCCTTTTCGAGAGATATAAAACCATTTATAATCCAACTCGTCGTCTTTTAAAAGTCGAAGATCTTCATTGTATATCCACAATAGCTATACATCCTCATTAAACATTCAATAACGGGAAAGACATCATACGAGACACGCCCTTTGGCACTGAATTCACACTGTAGTCCTGTAACAATACGAACCATGTAATAAGATCTGTGACATAACATCCGATCCCGCAGTGGGCGACGCGAGAGGGTGCCCCGAGACGCCCACCACCACACACAACACACAACACACTCACATTCACTCACAAAACACACACAGACACTCACATTCACACAACACACACACACACACACACACACACCACATCACTCACAAACACACACACACAACTCACATTCACTCACAAACACACACACACACACTCACTCACACTCACTCACGTCTCACATTCACACACTCACATTCACACTCACAATGACTCACTCACTCATTGCCACACAGATAGTCAACATATACATACATACAGAAAGAGAGAGAAAGAGAGCGAGATAAAGAGCGATAGTGGAGGAGAATGACGATAGATAGATAGATATAGATAAATGAATAGATAGACAGACTGATAGATAAATGAATAGATAGACATAGATAATTAAATATGGACAGATAAATAGATTAATAGATAGAGACATACAGAAAGACAGACAGACATCGACCGGGAAGCAGAGAACGAGAAAGAGATAGAATGAGAACGAGATTGCGCGGAAAGACCGAAGAAAGAAAGGGAGAGAGAGAGAGCAGAGGAAATATATCCACCCAACCGGACATTAGGAGAAAACACCAATTTCCTCAGCAGGCACCGTGTCTCCTCCTTTCACACTGCGCGCTGACAGGCACACTTGGCACGCTTCCTCCGCTGGACCTCCCTGTAAGCCCCGCCCACCGAGTGTCACCCTAATCCCCTCTGCACCTTGAGACATCTTGCTGACATCTTTTGCCTCGGGATGACTTGTAATCTAGGTTGCAGAAAATGCCTTTGTGTGTTTCGATTTTTTGGTTTCGTTCACAACAAAAAAGGCGTTGTTTTATTCATGCAAATTAAGCGCTGTTTCAGTCACAGAAATGAAGCTTTGTTTCATTCACACAAATATGTGTTGTTTCATTCACATAAATGAAGCATTCACATAAATGAAGCGTTGTTTCATTCACATAAATGAAGCGTTGTTTCATTCACACAAATGATATGTTCAATTATTCCTTTTCTTGTTCTACGTTACTAAACCACTTACATAAGCCCATCACACGAGGATTACGCCCATGCCTCCACCTACGTACAGTCACATGAATAATACGTCCAATAAATCATTTTTCTCCTTCTTTGAACCACAGACGTAACGCACGGACCTACACCCGCGCATAAGAATATGAAATGTGTTTAACAATTATCTTCAAAGGAGGAACTTCCGCTTTCGTTTATCTTTCTTACTCACTTACGGCTCCTCGGCTTCCCTTTGAGATCTTGATTCGGGCTGAACGCTATGATTACTTACGTGCGTAGTTAAGAGCACGCTTAGGTATTCAAAGCACAGCCAATACCTTCGCTAGTACAAAAATCCTTGCTACTGTCGGGAATAATGATACACTGCTGCTATTTGTTTAACTACAACGTCCGCAGTAATAATAACACTGATGATTAATACTACTACTAATACTATTTCTTCTACTACTGCTACTACCATTACTACAGCCACGGCGAGCTACTGCTGTTCCCGCTATAGCATGAAATCTGAAACTGAACGAGACATATTCGTTTACACGTCCTTTCTCTCTCTCTCTCTCTCTCTCTCTCTCTCTCTCTCTCTCTCTCTCTAATATATATTATATATATATATATATATATAT